GTGATGCAAAAATAGTAGCCGGCTGCTGCCGTCTCTGCCGCTCGCAATCCAAAGACCACTCAAGATTATTAAATTAAGCCGTGCTTCTACGACAAATAGCCCCCTACTTTATTAAGTTCATTAATTTTCCTACATTTTCAAGTGCGCTAAATTCTCTAATACTTGTAACGCGAACCACAATTTCCTTCTACCCCTAGACCTATTGCGAACGACAGTGGAAACAAAACTTCCTGCAGGACATGCAGCTGAAATACAGGTTTCCTGTGACGCGGGCCCTGAGTTTTGCTCAGACATCCCCTCTCCCGAAGCAACATCGATAGTTGTGGAGCAGCTAGCAGCCATAATCATTAAACAGAAGTTTCACTCTAGAATTGTTAGTGGGCTGATGCGCTGAGGCAGAGCTGTCTTTCCCAAGCACGATGTACACGCAAGGTGTAAATGGAGAACCAAGTATGGCATGTGTAGCAGAAACGGAATTTCCTTCGCTTCATTTTAGTACATAATTTCTACGTATCCTTGGCGGCAGAACTCGTAAGAAAGCACTTCTCAGTGTTCAGATTCAGGCGATCGTTGCCTTGCCTGGGCTTCCTGCAGCTCCTTGTGTTGTGCGTGGCTACAGTGCCTCCAGCTGAGCAGCAGAGCATAGCGTACATGCACACTCTGCTGCTGACAACAGTCAATCAGCTGCTTCGTACCCGCTTCAGCATAGCGTGAGAGTAGGAGTATGTATGTACAGAACTTGCACGAACGCTACTGTTCCTTAGCTGCTGTTCCTGCCACAGAGAACCTAAGCATACTTTCCTCTAGAGGATCGACATCTGCCTGAAGATTGCAAACGACAAGAATAACGGCTCCTACATTCCACCAACTTCACAACTGCCGGTCCTCTCCAGGAGGAACCACGGCAACAGCACAACTGCCAAAAAGCAACACCTGAGTTGCAGTCAGTCGTTTGGCGAGAAATCGCCAGGTGGCCGATATACACGTCTCTGGGGAGTAGCAGCAGTCTCGCCTGCATGCAGCGCGGCTGCAGGTGCTGCTCCAATATCATCAGCAAGCAACTGGGGGTCGTTCCAGCCAATCCTCTGCCGCTTCAACCTGCTTTCCTGCTGACGCCATGTGAGGAGTGCTTCGTCGCTCGGTTCTGCTTCGAGGCCGCTGAACAGGCAACGACAACGCCTTCCTTTCTTACCACGGCTGGCTGAGAACTGGTGCTGCTGCTCCTCCAGGTGTTGCAGGTCCGGGCCGAGAGTATTATCTACGTCAAGGAGAGCAGCACGCAGCTGGACAAACTGACGCCGGAGACCTTCGATCTTCTGCTGTCGCTCTGTAGCAGAAGAGTTTTCAGTCTCACACGAAGCTGCTTCACATTCTGCTCGCTGCAGTCTCAGGGCTGTTGATGCAAGGCCAGCAACCACCATATCTCTGCGCCTCTTTCTTTGAAAACTGCCCCTCTGGAGACCCACGGCCTGCACGCCTGCGTTCCATCCAGCCATCGCCGTTTGTGCATGCGCTGCTGCTGCATGCAGCAGCAGCTCTCCAGCGATAGCCGGGTTTTCCTCTGCTGCTGCCGTGTGCCCTGCTGCTGGCGCCCCACACTCTCCGCTTGCAGCGCTGCAGGCGGCCTTGAGCCCGCCTGTGTCTACAGCCTCCCCAGCAAACGAGGGCTTTCTCCCAGTGGCACTGCATGGTGATGAGTGTTGCTGCTGCTGGTGCTGGGGTTCCCTGGCCACTGAAGATTCGGCATAGGACGCCTCTCCTGCTGCTGCTTCCGGCGCTGCGGCGACGGATTCTTGCTGCTGCCGCATCAGCAACGAGCCCATGTGGCAGCAGCACATTGCCTTGATGTAGGCCATTTCAGCGGCGATCTCTGGAGACCAGGTTTGTGCGAGGTGATGCTGCTGCAGCAGCTGCTGCAGCAGCGGCAGCAGCTGCACAACTCTCGAGACACGCCGCAGAAGCAACTCTACCATCGCAATACGGAGCTGCAGGTACAAGTACAGCACAGACTTCTGCAGCAGCAAAGCAGCTGCGGCTTCCCGCTGCAAGTTCTGCATCAGCTCCAACCCCGCAAGACTGACGTTTCTACTGCTAGCAGCCATCGCCGCCACTGCGTCCAGCTGTATGTCCAGCTGCAGCAGCAGCAAAAACTCCCTGTGGGGGGTCCCCTGAAAGCAGCAAGCACAGCTCGGCCAGTCTGCTCCTGCTGCTGCAACAGCAAGTGCCGACGGCTGCTGTGCTGGCCCCTCGGTGCAGCAGCAGCAACGAAGCAGTTGCTGCATGTGCAGCAGTGGCAGCTGCTGCCCCGCAGAAGCAGCCAGGAGTATGGACTGCTGTAGCAGCAACGCCCTCGCAGCGGCCGGCATCGCAGCACCACCGGCTAGCAGATGGGTAAACCCCCAAGAAGCAGCAGACAAGACAGCCACCCGGCATTCGCTTGCTGCAGCAGCAGTAGCAGCCTGAGTCAGAGCTAGCTCTCCATCTGCTGCAGCTTTGTGCAGCCGCAGAAGCTGTCTATACACCTTGTCTGCTGCTCCTGCCTCCACTCCTCGCCTCGTCCTATCAACAAGCTGCATTCGGATCCCCCGTCTGCTCCAGCGGTAGGCTGCATCTGCTGCAGCTGCGGAACCTGCAGCAGCCTGCGTTGCAGCAAGGAAGGGACAGAAGCTGCTGCAGCGGCGCTGAGGTGTATAGACACACTGCGCAGAACTCAGCACCCCCAACGGTAAGACCCGCGGGCAGCTGTAAGCTACCTGCAGCAGCAGCAGCACAGCAGCAACAGCCGTGTCGCCATCCATCCTTGCATGCGTGGCATCCCCAAGCATAGCTGGATCCCTGAGCACGGTCATGAGAGCATTCTTCCTGCACCTGCTGCAACCGCTGTAACAGCTGTAGCAGCTACAGCTGCTCCTGCTGCTGCATTCGCCGCAGCTGCTGCAGCAGCAGCCGCGTTTATCGCAGGTCCAGGTCCTGCTGCTTTCCCACCAGCTGACTCGCCCGTCAATGTGGCAAGAGCCCCTAGGCGAGCCAAACAAGCTCATAGTGCGGCGCAGCAACTGCAGCAGCAGCAGCCTGAGCTGCGCTGCTGCTGCTGCAGGTGGCTGTTGCTGTGTCCCCAACCAGCTCCCGACAAGCACATAGCACCGCAGCAGCAAAACTTTGGTGCGAAGCTCAGAACAAAGCTGATGCTGCTGCTGCCGGCCTCCACCAGTGTCTTTTAAGGGATCGCCAGGTATATTGTTGCTGTTGTCGCTGCTGCTGTTGCTGCTGCTGCTGCTGCTGCTGCTGGAGGCGTCAGGGGGGCAGCAGAGAGGAACCATGAGACGCGCGCATGCATCCCCTATTTCAAAAAAGCATGATACAGCCTCTTCTGCTGCAGCAGCAGCTGCTGCTTCGGCCGTTGCTACTGCTACCCGAGGCAGACGGCGCTGCAGCAGCTTCTGCTGCACAGCAGAGGCATCTGCATGAGGCACTTCAAAGCAAAAACTCGTTTCATCCAAAATTTCATCACGTGCTGCTGCTGCTGCTGCTGCTGCTGCTGCACGGGGACTACAATCGGCTGCTGCTGAGCCGCCCCCAAGGCCCACAGGTATGCTGCGAAGGCGTTGCCGCTGCTGCTGCTGTCGCTGCCGCTGCAGCAGCGAAGCTCCTACTGCTCTGTAGCTGTCCATACACTCCAAAGGCCACGCAGGCCTCGTTATGCGGAACGGCTGCGTCGCGTCTGCGCCCGCCAGCAGCAGACCAGCAGCTGCCGCTGCAGCAGCAGAATCGGCCACCTCAGCCGCTGCAGCAGCAACAGCTGCCTGCTGGTTTCGGTATGCTTCATCAGGTCGCGAGAAGGAACTGCTAATAGGTGTTGCTGCTGGCGGTGCCTGAACCCCTCCCGGAAAATTATATGTAGCCTCCTGCTGCGGGTTGTCGGGCTGCTGCTGCTGCTGCTGCTGCTGTTGTTGCTGCTGCTGCTGCTCCTCCTCCATCTGCCTGCTGGGTTCTTGAAATCGCCGCTGCGCGACGCCTGTCTGCTGCTGCGCGACGCCTGTCTGCAGCTGCTGCTGCTGCTCCTGCACTTGCCGTGCGTCCCGTCCCTGTTCCTGTTGTTGCTGTTGTTGTTGCTGCTGCTGCTGCTGCTGCTGTGTGGCGGTTAGCAGCTCTACGTGGCATAGGGCTGACTTAAGTGCCTGCAGCAGCGGCGTGGGGTCAGCAGCAAGCTGCCTCACGAGCTGCGGCTGGCTGTGCAGCAGCAGCGCGAGATGCAGCGAGATTATCCCCACAGCATTCAGTGAGAGCAGCACAGGCCAGGCGTTGCTGCCAGACAGCAGCAGCGACAGCAGCCCTCCAGAGCGCCCTCTCGATCCCCCCGCTGCTGCTGCTGTTGCTTCTGCTGCAGGAGGAGGCACCCAACCACCAGCAGCAGCAACTGCTGCTGCAGCTCTTTGGCTCGCCGTAGTCGCACCAGCAGAATAAAACCCAGCAGTTCCGGCTGCTGCGTTTGCTGCTGCTGCATTTGCTGCTGCTGCTGCTGCTGCTGCTGCTGCTTCAGGCGCTGCTGTGTACTGCAGCAGTTGCGTTGCATGTCTCAATGCGATCAGCAGCAGCTGCATTGCAGCAACGTAGTTGTGCTTGCTCAGCTGCAGCAGTGCTGCTGCTAATGCATGCGAGCTTGCTGCGCCGCTGCTCCCGCTCCCCTGCACCATATTCCTAATACAAGCAAGCAACACAGACAGCAGCAAGCAGCAGAACATCACTCTCCCAACCCCCCTCACCACATATCGCAGAGTCTGCCTGCTGCTGTCCCTGCTCTGGCTGCTTCTGCTGCTGCTGCTGCTGCTGCTGCTGCTACTAATTCTACCGCTGCTGCTGCTGCTAAAGCTGCTGCTGCTTGTGAGACCGGTCTATCGCCTATGACTGCTGCTTGACCCGCTGCAGCTGCTGCGGCTGCAGCTGCTGCTGCTGCAGCTGCTGCGGCTGCAGCTGTGGGAGCTTCTGCTGTTCTCTTACCCTGCAGCAACAGCAGCCTCGTCGAGCCGTCCTAAGTGCAGCAGCACGGCGAAGACGTTCATGTTGATTTGCTGCAGCAGCGAAAGGGCTCTTTGCTTTTCAAGTATTGCGACGCCACCGATGCTGCTGCTGCTGCTGCTGCTGNTGCTGCTGCTGCTGCTGCTGCTGTTGCTACCTTCACTGCCGCTGCTTCTGCCAGGCAGCAGCTGCAGGCTGTGTGTAGCTACAGGCAGCAGACCCGCAGCAGCAGCAGACGCGACACCCTGCAGCCCCAAGGACAGCCACGCAGGCACTGTTGCTTTTGTTGCTGCTTCCATCAATTCAGGCGAACCGCACGGCCCAGCAGCAGCAGCAGCAGCTGCTGCTGCTGCTGCTGCTGTCAACTCCACTTCGCTCGCAAGTGCCAGGGCTTCCTCACCACCCCCGTGCTGCAGCAGCAGCCGCTGCTGCAGCAACGCGGATGGGCAGCATTGCAGATGAGGCCTCCTGCCCCCGTTGTGCTGCTGCTGACGCAGCTGCTGCAGCTGCTGCTGGTGCTGCAGCAGCTGCTGCCTATGGAGCTGCTGCAGCAGCTCGAGGCCCTCGTGCAGCGGGAGACAGCACGAGAGCCAACCCGAGAGGGCCCCTGCGAACCCCCGCTGCAGCAGCAGCAGCAAACACACAACACAGCCCTGATAGAAACCCATCAACACAATATAGGGTACAAACAAACAGCAGCAGCAGAGAGCAGCACAAGACAGCAGCAGCAGCAGCAGCAAAAACAACTCTTACCTGTGACACAGCTTCGCTGCATGCCCCTGCCAAGGCCCGCAGGTCTGGGGGCTCCACACCCAGGCAGCAGCAGCAGCAGCTGCAGCAGCGGCCGTCCACACACCGCTGCTGCTGCTGCTCCTCGTAGCTGCTGCTGCCATTCCCGGGTACTGCGCCTGCACCTCCAGCGCGACAGTCGTTGCGCTGCTGCTGCTGCTGCTGCTGCTGCTGNGCTGCTGCTGCTGCTGCTGCTGCTGCTGGCTCCATTCTTGCTGCTGTTGCTGCATTGCCTCTGTTGCTGGAGCAGCAGCTGCTGCCGCTTCAGCTGCGCCTTGTCCCCCAACAAGGCGCCGTGTTGCAGCAGCTGCTGCTGCAGCTGCTGCATACACGCACAACCCCTACAGACCTGCTGCTGCGTCGGCTGCTTGTGCTGCTGCTGCTGCGCCTCAGCAAGCCAGTTCGTACCGTCTCCCGCAAGATTTGCTTCTCACGCCACGACATTGGGGCGCTGCTGTGCTGCTGCTGCTGCTTCTGCTATGCCTGCCGCTGCTGCTGCGGTGATGCTGTAGTGCCCAACTAAGCCTTAGAACTCAGTTCGCATTGCCCATTCCGATGAGCTTGCTGCAGCTGCACCTTCTACGCGTTGTTGCTGCTCTTGGTGCTGCGGCTGTTGCTGCATCTATTGCTGTACCTGCTGCAGCTGCTGCCGACAGACACACCGTCACCACGCTGCTGCTGCTGGTGCGACGCAGCAGCCAAAGGCCCTATTTCCTGCGTCCTTAGTGGATATATGAAGCCTTCAAACGCGCCTGCCGCACGCGGTTGTGCTGCTGCAGCAGCAGCAGCAGCAGCACCTCCAACCAGCAGCAGCAGCAGCAGCAGCGCTGGGTACAATGGCCCTTCACACTAGCCCTGGGTGTATACGGAGTCCGCAGCAGAACAGGTGCAGCGCATCTACTGGGTGTGAAGCTGCGCCTGCAACGGTGGTTGCTGTTGCTGCAGGCGTTGCCGAACGCGTGGCTGTCTGCTGCTGCTGCTGCTGCTGCTGCTGCTGCTGCGGGTACTCCTCCAAGAGCCGCTGATATGAAGTGCTGAAGCAGCAGCCGAAATCGCCTCTCAAATATGTGTGTGAGGTGTCTGAGTAGCAAGGCTCAAGGCTTTTCCTGCTGCAGTCCTGGGGCTGCTGCTGCTGCTGCTGCGGTTGCTGTTGCTGCCGCTGCTGCTGCTACAGCTGCATTGTCTCTACACTCACCGTCCTAAAGGGGGCATATAGGAGGCAAAAAAACAATTTTTAAATGAGCTGCAGCTTCGCTTGCATGCCGCCTAAGGAGCCGCTCGTGCAGCAGAACAACAAACCCCACCCCCGACCGCCCTGCTGGGGCTGCTGCTGCTGCTGCTGTGGCGGCAGCGGCAGCAGCGGCGGTGGTTGCTGCTACTTCCTGCAGCCAGTTGCTGTCTCTTCTTTGAGAAAGTATATCTGAGCCGTCCTAGCAGGGGAGCAGCAGCAGCTTAAGGTGGCTACTCCTCAGCCTCCTGCCAGCAGGGGCCGCCGCCCCAGCAGCAGCAGTACCAGTAGCTGCAGCAGCAGCAGTACCAGTAGCAGCAGCAGCAGCAGCAGCAGCCAGGCCATTCATGCCACACAATCCACTGGGGGCCGCAGGGCCCCGCGTAGCTGTTGCATGTGGGGCCCACCTGCTGCCGACAGCTACGAGTTCAAAGCTGTATGGTCCTGGAGACGCGGGGGCCCCCCAAGCAGCAGCAGCAGCAGCAGCAGCAGAAAGCGCAGCAGCAACAGCCATACTGTGGGAGGAACTGCCTGAGGATAACAATGGCCTTTGTCTTATAGACCTGCAGGTAAGGCATAACAGATTTTCCTGCTGCTGTTACTGCTGCTACTTGTGCTGCTGCTGCTGCTGCCGCTGCTGCTGCTGTTTTCAACGTATCTCGGTTGCTGCTGCTCAGGCCAGCCGGTCCGGTTGATTTCTCCCCGTTCCTGTGCATGCGCTGCTAGACTTTATTGTACGTAGGATCCGCCTGCTTCATGTTGCTGCCGTTGCTGCTGCTGCTGCTGCTGCTGCTGCTGTGTGCTGCAGGGTGAGGCCCTGATGGCCATTCAGAGGTCACCCGACACAGCAGCAAAGGTTGTGCCGCTGCAGGCTTCGTCGGAAGCAGCAGGAGAGAAGCAGCAGCAGCAGCAGGAGGGCGGTGCAGGCTGCGAGCTTTGGGGTATTGTGCGTTGGCCGTCTGCTGCTGCTGCTGCTGCTGGTGATAGCGGCAAATGCTGCTTGCATGTGGGGGCTGATAGTCTAGAAGGCAAGGTGGGCCCCTTTGTTTCTTGTGCAGGTGCAGGGGCCCTGGCTGTGCTGCGGCGCGTGCGGCGGCCGATACAGTTGAATGTTGCGGGGTGTACGTACACCTCAGATGCTGCAGCAGAGACAGAAGCATGGGAGCTGCAGGGGACAGTGAAAAAGGCTCTGTCTTTCTGCACTCCGCCGGTGCTGAACCCCTTCAAGGAGCTCTTCGTTACCCAGACAGCAACGCTGCAGCAGCAGCAGCAGGGAGGAGCAACAGCAGCAGCAACCAGTGCAGCTGCTGCTGCTATTGCTTCTACAGCCGAAGCAGCAGCACCTGATATACCCGCCAGTGATGCTGTGTGGCTCATAGCAGCATCACCGCATCTGCAGCACATGCAGGATTCGTGGCAGCTGCTGCACCTGGGCAGCGCGGTGCGCGAGGAGGTGCAGCAGCAGCAGCAGCAGCAGCAGCAGCGGCTGCTGCTGATAAAGAGCCGGCCTGCTGCACTGCCTCTCTCCCCCACTGCTGCGCAGCAGCGGGAGGAAGAAGAAGCTGTCATCTGCACCCGCAGCAGCACACTGCGGCCGTTGCAGAACACCATAGACGGAGAGGTGCTCGTCTGCTGCAGGACCCCTGCTGCTGCTGCTGCTGCTGCAGCAGACGATGAAGTCATGGTCGTGGACGATGAGGGCAGCAACAGCAGCAGCAGCAACAGCAGCAGCAGCAACAGCAGCAGCAGCAACAGCAACAGCAGCAGCAGCAACAGCAGCAGCAGCAACAGCAGGGCAGGCAGTCATGGGGTTGCAGTTCTGGGCGTGTGCAGGTCTGTGCTGCAGCTGGAGAAATCACGCGGGCGGTTTAACCAGGTGCAGCAGCTGCTGCAGCTGCCGCTGCAGCAGGTGCTGTCTGTGCATCCGCATGCAGTGCCCGCAGCAGCTGCTGCTGCTGGGCGCACGGTGCTGCCATCTGCTTTCCTGCTGCAGCAGGTGCAAGCCTCCCCTGTAGAGACAGCAGCAGTCCTGCTAGGCGACGCAGGCCTCGCCTTTGGTGACGCTGACGCAGCTGCTGCTGCTGCTGCAGCAGCAGCAGCAGCAGCAACAGCAGCGTCTCCTCAGCAGACGCAGCAGCAGCGCTTGAGTGAGCTGCTGCACAAGCTGCCGCCCCTGTGGGGGTCGCTGCCTGCTGCTGTCTCTGGCGTCGTTCTCTATGATCCAGACGTAGGCGGATATTTCTCTGTCTCTGCTGCTGTGCTGCACAAGTGGGTGCTGCGCATAGCAGACTGTATAGCCCTGGGGAGCAACAGCAGCGGCAGCAACAGCAGCAGCAGCAGCAGCAGCGGGAGCGAGTGGTTTACTGTTGGCTGGGCGTTGGATGCCATTGAGAGCTGCGTGCAGCAGCACGGGCTTGTTGTGCCGGAGCTGCGTATACACCCCAACGGAGCAGCAGCAGCAGCAGCAGCAGCAGCAGNAGCAGCAGCAGCAGCAGCAGCAGCAGCAGAGGGCGCTGCAGCAGACAGCGAGAAATATCCTCGGTTGACAGCAGGTCTGCTGCTGCAGCTGCTGCGGCACTTCTGTGACGTGCGGATCCCGCAGCTCTGCTGCAGCAGCCACCCCACGGCCTTTGGGGACAGCTGTCCCCCTCTTCCTACAGAAGCAGGTGCAGCAGCAGCAGCAGCAGCAGCAGCAGCAACAGCAGCAGAAGGGGACCTGGTAGATGCACTGAGCTCGTTAGAGAGAGTCCTGGGGGACCCAGAGACGGCGAGAAAAGCAGAGGCAGCAGTGAGCCTGCTGAAGCTGCATTCGTTGCTGGCAGCAGAAACAGCAGCAAGTGTTGGGCTGCTGCTAGAGCTGCAGTTTGGTGTTTTATATCCTCTGTCTGCTGCAGTTGCTGCAGCAGACATTAAGAAATTCTGCATCGCCCTGGGGAGGCGGTGGCAGCAGCTGCCC